AAAGTGACCTATCCAATGCTTTACACTAAATATAGTAACATCATGTCACATGAATTCATACAGAAAAGTAAATGATGGAAATCAAAATTTCAATTTATTCCAACATATTTATCAGAAAACATGTAAAACAATAATACTGAATCAATGTTTAATTGTCATGACACAGTAATATAACCAGACATATTCTGTGCCCGTACACTGAAGGTACCATTTAAAACAAGTTTCCAAAGAAATAAACACTAAGATTACAGTTTAAATTTTCAACAAAATATTCACACTATTGTGTGAAAAACTTTGACATCTGTAATTTCCCCTCTCCTGAAATAGTGAAGTGATACAAAAAAAGTCCTGCATCTGGATCGTGACCCGGATCACCACCAAAATTTAATGGTGTGTTCCTTTGGTCAATACTGTGGTAAACATTTCATGAAAATCCGTGCATAAGTTGTTGAGTAATTTTGTCTACAGACAATCAGACATACGTGACCGAAAACATAACCTCATGATGGAGGTAAAAACGTTAAACTGTTGGTTCAAGCCTAACAATCTTATAGTGTTAGAAACTGGTTTATTGTTCAGTTTTCAGATAAATCATCATGTTGGAAACATTTAAGATGCCAAAGTTAGGAGAAATATCGTCTCTTTTTTCCTCCAAATGTGGTTTAATTTAGTTGCTGTATTAACAGAGTTGTAAAGTGACTAAGTACAAATACTTTGTTACTGTACTTAAGTAGAATTTTTGATTATCTGTACTTTACTTGAGTAATCATTTTTCAGTGTACTTTTTACTTTTACTCATTACATTTTTACACAATTATCTGTACTTTCTACTAACTACATTTTTTAAAAAGGTAAGAAGTAGAAAGTCGTTACTCCTATTTTATTCTGAGTTATTACTTAAAAAATCCTCTCCTGATAAACTGTGTCTCCTATAGAGTGAATTTAATTGTGTTTGGATGAGAAGTATAAATATATACCATTCTGACACACTATTAGCTTGTACACAACCCATCACAGCTGCACGCTGTTAGAAAATATAGTTTTTGGAGAAGTCACCTCCCAATAAATGTTAGAAAATCTAACTGCTCACTTTTACTCAGTACTTTTACTTTTAATACTTAAGTAGATTTTGTGTCAGAAATTTACTTTTGATACTTAAGTTCAAAAAATATCAGATACTTTAAGACTTTTACTCAAGTAACGTTTTTAGAGAAGACTTTAACTTTTACCAAAGTATTTTTATAAGATACGTGTACTTTTACTCAAGTATCACTTTGAGGTACTTTATACAACACTGAGTATTTAGAGACTTGTGTGAAGATGTTCAGATTAGCGTTAGTGTTAGGATCTGAGTAGCATTAACACTGTTAAAATGCTTTTGAAATGGAGCCACATTTGTAAGGAACATGCATCTGTGCGATGAGCAGTAGAGCTGAGTACGTGGGTTGCCAAACAGCTTATTCTGCCATTGATTTGTTTGGTGGACTGGATGATTGAGGTTTGAAGAAACAAGACTTATTGGCAATTCAACAACTTATTCATTTAACAAAGGAGCCTCAGTGGCACGTGGAAGAACCATACACAGCCACAACAGCCTGGCTCCTCCTCCTCATCATTATGCTGATCACCAGGCTGCTGTGGGATGGTACCCAAGTTGATCCAAGAAGTGTTTGATGAGGTTGAGGTCAGGACATCTGGCCATTCCATCCTCTCCACTTCCAAACTCTGGAAGTGGTCTCTGATAAACCGCGCTCTGTGGGGGTGAGTGTTGTTCAGTCCCATGTGGAGATATGGGACTGACAATCAGAAGCCTGATTGGCAGCACATGGGGGGACCAGAAGCTCAAAACAAGTGTTAAAATCAACAGCAAAAAAGCTGTTTGACAATGAGAGAGAGAAGATTTGGCAAATTTGTCAGGTACATAGCTCAGCTCTTCTACTCATTCCTCAAATGCATGTTCCTTACAAATGTGGCACCATTTCAAAGGGAAATAAACAGGATTTCCAACAATATAAGACATGGACAAATTGCCACAGTTAATGCAGACCAGGGGCCAAACATCCAGCAATTAAAAAATAAACCAAGTATTACAAATATCTGTTACCTTTGAAATAGTTTATTTTGCTGCATTTAATCATGAATACAACATATAAAACCCTACAAAAGTAGTGATAATAAAACCTTATCAAAAACAAAAACAACACATTATGTCTCATAATGTGTTATGCCTCATAACACAAATAATATTTTAACATCTCTGACTTAACAAATTTTTAAACCAATTTTATTTTCACTTTCATAGTTTTATCTTCAACTGCTTATAGTTTTAACTGTCTTAGATATTCAAAGAAATGTTTTGACCAGCTTCTGACCAAGATTATGACATTTCCATAGATACCAAACACGTGTATGTTTAACTAAAAGAACTCAGTAATTAAAGTAGGGTTTAAATTTAAGAGATGAATGAACCAATTGGTGGGCAACATTTTGGTCTAGTCAAAGAATTTCATGACAGGTTGCCAGTTGAATAGCCCTGGTATAAGATTTATTGCCAAGACGTATTGTTACAACAAATAAATCATCTACCAAACACAAATTTCCTTACTTTTTATGCTAAGTTTAAATACTTTTCTAACAGCCTAATGGTTTGGACGATCGGTCACACCTGCACCAGTGTAGCCTCATATGAAGATGGCCTTGGCAGACACATCTGCAGCTGAAACAAGAAGACTAGTGCATCCCAAATTTTTCAACACTAACATTTGTATTTTTGGAGGGGACATAACCGCTCTCTTTTATGCAATGCTTTCACTTTTAATGCTTAAATACTAGGGCTGCAACGATACAGAAAATTCACGATTCGGTTCAGTTCGATACTTTAGTCTCATGGTTCGATATTTTTTGATACAAAAAAGAGAAATGTCCATGCCCCTTTTAACTTGAAATTTATTTAAATTAATTATGAACATTTGTTTAACCTCAAAAGTTCAGTTTTTAAATTAAATGTTGCTGAAACAGCAAGTTTCTCAGTGGATCTGTGCTCAAAAATGCAGCCTAGGTGGAGTAGTCGAACACAGATCCACTGATCCTTCAACACTGAGCATCTTCAGAAGACAAGCTGATAAAATAAATTTTAAAATCTGTATTGTTCCATACAAGTGTGTGTTGAACCTAAAGCACAGTTCGATACGAGTACATGTATTGTTGTACCCCTAGATTTTACCCATTTTGTCCCATAAATGGCATATTTTATTTTGAACTTGGCTCAGCCAAAGTGCAACAGGAAGTGACATAAAAGGGGAACTCTTAAAGAAAGAGAACTGTAATCTTTGTTTATTGAAACAATATTAATTGAACTCTGACTCATCTTCTCTTTGATACTCAAAATAATCTAAAGAAACATCAGATTCTTCTCTACAGTCTGTGTCGTTAACTAATTTATCAATGCTTTGTTCCATGCAGGCATTCCCCTTTGACATCACTTCCTGTTCCTTCACATGCTAATATATCAACAACTGTTCATTTCAGCAGCGGGAAATTATTTTTGCAATATGCTAATAATGTTACCTTTCCAATAATGCCTTTACATTTATTTAAAAAATATCATGTCACAGGCATTTTAAAGCTTTCACTCAATTAATATTCTTAAAGGAGACTAACTTTTACCAAGTAATTTTATGGTAAAGCACATGTCCTTACCCTACAAGACTGGATTTTCACACTGAAGCAAAAGTCAGGTCAGTTGATTTGAGGGCCCCGCTGTGACCTGCCTTTCCACAGGAATGGCGAGGAGTGGAGATCTGACCGCCTGCAGCTCAACAAGGAGGTGATGCTGAGCGCCGCTGTGAAGCGTTTCCTCCCCCTCCTCGACGAGGTGGCGAAGGACTTCTGTCGGATGCTGCAGAGGAGAGTGGAGCGGGAAGGAAGGGGGGAGGAGGGCAAGCGAAGCCTCACCGTCGATCCCAGTCCTGACCTTTTCCGCTTCGCCCTCGAAGGTTGGGGGAGCCTCTTCATCACCCTGTCTTACATGTTTTGTTTTTTTATTAGCTGAAGTATGCATGCTTTTATTTACACTAGAAGTTTGGAAAGAGAGGAAGGGATTTATTACTGCTGCTTACATGAGGCTCTTATTGGGTGCTGTTTGTAAAGTTACACAGTCAAAGATTACCACCAATATTTTTGTTTTATTTAGTCTTTTAGAAGAAAAAAAGAACAGATTTATTTTTCAGTCAGTTTTTCACCATATGATTCATACATTTATATAAGTCAGTTTATAAACTAAATATTTAACTTGTGACTTAAATAATTAGTTTTGAGCTAAATATTTAGGTTGCAACTTAAATATTTAGCTAGCTACCTAAATATTTAAGTTGCAACCTAAATATTTAGGTAGCCAGCTAAATATTTAAATATTTAGGTGACTAGCTAAATATTTAACTTGCTAGCTAAATATTTAAGTTGCAACCTAAATATTTAGGTAGCCAGCTAAATATTTAAATATTTAGGTGACTAGCTAAATATTTAACTTGCTAGCTAAATATTTAAGTTGCAACCTAAATATTTAGGTAGCCAGCTAAATATTTAAATTAAATATTTAGGTGACTAGCTAAATATTTAACTTGCTAGCTAAATATTTAAGTTGCAACCTAAATATTTAGGTAGCCAGCTAAATATTTAAATATTTAGGTGACTAGCTAAATATTTAACTTGCTAGCTAAATATTTAAGTTGCAACCTAAATATTTAGGTAGCTAGCTAAATATTTAAGTTTCAAGCTAAATATTTAGCTCAAAACTAAATATTGAAGTCACGTTAAATATTTAGCTTGTTAACTAAATATTTAATTTTTAAGTTAAATATTTAGTTAATAAACTATTACATTTATAAATGTATGAATTATATGGTGATAAACTGACCAAAAATATAGGTGGTAATTTTTCACTGCGTAACTTTACAAACAGCACCCCATAGGCTCTTACTCAGCCCAGCAATCAGGCATTCAAGTCACAAACCGAGTATTCTGACGTCAAAGGACTGATTCACTTTACAAGAAGATCATTTTTTAAGATCTTATTTCCATGAAATTATTCGAAAGTATTTGCAGCCAGACTCCCTTCTAACCGGAGGCGGTTCTATCAACATATTCATGGTGTGTAAGCAAAAAGGATCAAAGCTGCAGCTTTCCTTCTGCAGGCTCAGTTTTTGTGTGTATGTCTGTATGATGCCATGTTCAGAAGTGTGAATCCTTGTATGACTCAGTGCAGCACACACAGACTCACACACTCTTCTGTGTGAACGTGAGCGTGGAGCTGATGACTCTGAGTCATGTTGCTCTGATCCAAAATGACCCCGGCTCAGAAATGAGACGAGAGAAGGGGAAGCTCAATTCCAGAGGTTTATGTGAAGATAATTTAACACCAGCGTGTCCGATAGTAGATATATGTGGTTTGTGTAGTGCTTTTAAAAGATTATATCATGGCATCATGTCCGATACCACCATCCTGACTTGTGGTGTACCACAGGGCTCTGTTTTAAGACCCATTCTGTTTATTCTGTATATTCTCCCCCTTGGGCAGGTAATCTAGCAAATCAGAAATGTGCAATTTCAGCTCTACGCTGATGATATCCAGCTCTATTGTTCATTTAAAGGAAGTGAGTTTCATAAATTAGAGTTCCTAACAAATTGTTTAGCTAGCATCAAACAGTGGTTGAGCAACAATTATCTGCAACTGAACTTCGATAAAATGGAAACGGATTGTTGCAATGGAAAATAAGATTGCTCAGATTGAAGAGTTTATTGGTGTCTTAGGTCCATCTGTTCAGTCCAGCCTCAGAAACTTGGGTGCCATTTTTGATTCTGCAATGCCTCTGAAACAACACGCAAAACATCTGTTACTTTCACCGTATGAACATCTCAAAATTGAAACAGTTGTCAAAAGCTGAACTTGAAATGGTCATTCATGCATTTATTTCTTTTGGTTCGGACGATTGTGGTGCTATATAAATAAACTTTACTTACCATATTTATTCAAGTATAATATGTAAAATTAAATCCATAAAATCATCCATAAATTTGGGGGGTAGTACTATACTGGGATAAATATTTTTACTTATGTATTTTAACTGAAATATTGGCTTCATGAGTCCGGAAATGAGACGGCGTCATAAAAAGCAGTTAAAGTGAGCTTACCTCTGACACACCTCCGTGCTTCAGAGCGAGATAATAACAGATCCAAGCAGGCGACATGATGTGAAAAAAGGGGGGAGGAAGTATTCCTGCACCTTAGTAATGATAACGAACTAATGACATTAGTGTGTGACCGAGCCGCTCCTTGAACAACAACAAACACATGTTCGTCTGTAATGGCTGCCGTCTACCGGTGTTCTGAAAGAGTTTGAATCCCTGAAAAAAGTTTCCCCACCAGAGGGGGCACTCGCGAGTAGGAAATAATCTGCTTTTCCCCCAGAAGATGGCCCAAATCTCATGTGAAGTCTCTGACGTTTGTGTTGGCGCCTCCTGGTGGACTATGTGTAAAATGCCAGAATTCATATGATGCTGCTACAGCTGATATATGTTTGTTGTCAAAATACCTTTTAGTACATATGTTGTTAAAATAAAATGAACAGTCCAATGATCATTTTACTGATGTGTACAAAGACTGCAAAGGCTGAAAAATCTTGGTCTGTATGAAATTGGAGGTAGTTTGAGGATAAAATTGTTTATGCTTTTTAAGCTCAAAAAGGGGGGTTGTATTATACATGAGATCGTATTATACATGATTAAATACGGTATATGAACCCAGAAAACTTCAAAATGTTGAGATAAACTTGAGTCAGGAGGTCTTTCCATCAACTCAAACTCCAGTTTATCATTCCCCGAAGTGTTTGCTGTGGTTTTGTTTGCCCACCTTGAAAAGCTCCAGCCCCAGCAGATAAACGTCCTCTGCTCGGCCCTGCAGCCAGCTGCCACGTGATTTATGGGGAGCGTATCGGCCTCTTCTCCTCGTCTCCCTCCCTGGCGTCTCAGAAGTTCATCTGGGCAGTGGAGCGGATGCTGACCACCACCCCTCCCCTCCTCTACCTGCCCCCTCGCCTGCTGCTCCGAATCGGTGCCCCTCTGTGGACCCAGCACGCCACAGCGTGGGACCACATCTTCAGCCACGGTGGGAGGCATGACAGGCACCTGTCATTGAGTCTTTAGCTCAGCTTATTTCTTTTTGTCCTCTGGTTTGTTTGCTGCTTCCAGCCGAGGCGAGGATCCAGAGGGCCTACCAGCGCCTGACGTCCTCCAAGGGCCGAGGGTCCGCCACTGAGGGTCAATACACCGGAGTTCTGGGGCAACTCATGGAGAAAGGGCAGCTTTCTTTAGACCTGATCAAAGCCAACATCACCGAGCTGATGGCTGGAGGGGTTGACACGGTTTGTGTGTGTGTGTGTGTTAACACGTGTGTGTTGGTCTTTGTGCGTGCACCTGCCACTTCTGATCCCCTCTGCTCTGCAGACAGCCGTCCCTCTGCAGTTTGCTCTGTTTGAGCTGGGACGCAACCCCGAGGTGCAGGAAATGGTTCGGCAGCAGGTGAGGACATCGTGGGCGCAGGCAGGCGGGGATGCTCAGAAATCCCTGCAGGGGGCGCCGCTGCTGAAAGCCACGGTTAAAGAGGTTCTCAGGTACAAAAATTAGTGATGTTCGATACTGCCAATTTTCTTTCCGATACTGATACTGAGTAAAATTTGCCTGGTATCGGCGATACTGATCCGATACTGATACTTTGTGATAAATGTGACGTTGGGCATGTCAAGGAGGCACGAAATGTAACGCGTGTATCGCGACGCGCTATACATCTGATCTATAAAGCTGCATTAAGGGAAAAAACTAAAATTGAGGAAATAACAGATTTTTTAAAAACATACACATACTGTATATATTAGGGGTGCAACAATACAGAAAATTCATGATTCAGTTCGATACTTTAGTCTCACGGTTCAATATTATTTCGATGCAAAAAAAGAAATATCCATGCCCCCTTTAACTTGTAATTTATTTAAATTAATTATGAACATTTGTTTAACCTTAAAAGTACAGTTTTTAAATTAAATGTTGCTGAAACAGCAAGTTTCTCAGTGGATCTGCACTCAACAATGCAGCCTAGGTGGAGTAGTCGAACACAGATCCACTGATCCTTCAACACAGAGCATCATCAGAAGACAAGTTGATAAAGTAAATTTTAAAAATATGTATTGTTCCATACAGCACTGTTCGATATGGGTACATGTATTGTTGCACCCCCATATACAGTATATATACAGTATATACAGTATACAGTATATATATATATATATATATATATATATATATATATATATATATACTGTATATAATGTGTGTGTGTTTGTTAGCAGTTGCACATACATCTCAGTTATACTTAAAGGGCAAAAAACAAACAAAGAAAAGAAATAAAGCTGTCCCGCATCAACGCTTTTTTTAAAATATTGTTTGTTGTCTGATAAAGCAGATTCTTCTACAATCAACAACCTGATCTCCAAACTTATGCCTGTTTATGGATTTTATTTGAAGCAGCAACTTTCAGTGACTTTTATTTAACCTGAAGAAAAAAAAAGCATCTGTGAGTTGAAAGCAGTAAATATCCTGGAGTGATGGAGAAATAAATGACTTGTTTGTTTTAGATCAGTGAAGCAGGAAAAACCAATCAATGCCCTGAGATTGGGAACAGTTGTCTAAGATACATTCAGGATTATGAGCTTTATTGTCTGTTAGAAATGTTGAAAATTAACAAGCAAGTCTTAAACAAATGTTTGTGTGTTTCAGGTTGTACCCAGTGGGAATCACGGTGCAGAGGTATCCTGTCAAAGACATCATTCTGCAGAATTACCACATCCCTGCAGGGGTGAGAGAGCACACTGCTGCTCATTCTCATTCTTTTTCCATCTCTCACCTGCTGCTCGCAGTCTGCTTCATCAAAGCTCACAGGTGTGTTGACCCTCTCCACAGACCATGGTCCAGGCCTGTCTCTACCCGATGGGGAGGAGCAGCCTGGTGTTCGAGGAGCCGCTGCGCTTCAATCCCAGCCGCTGGAGCGGCAGCAGGGAGGGGGCAGCGTTTCGCTCGCTGGCCTTTGGCTTTGGGGCGAGGCAGTGTGTCGGGAGGAGGATCGCTGAGAACGAGATGCAGCTGCTGCTCATGAATGTGAGTTAGAGCAGAGGAGGAACGAGCATGAAGCAAGGGTGGGAGGAGGGATTAGTGTTCAGGATGGAAGGAGAGCCTGATCATCCCCAAACCCTCCTGCTGCCCTTTAACTGAGGCCTGGTTGGTCATTTTGACTCAAGGGCAGCAGGATGATTAAATAGTGCCAGAGCTTCTTAAAGGGGCTATATGATGTAAAATCAACTTTTATATCAGGTTATAATGTTATCCTCTCATCAAAAGCATGCTCAGAGTCTTGCTTTGACTCATGCATGTTTGAGAAACCCTGTAGTCCTGAGGCAGCAGGCAGGGGAGCAAAAACCACCGGTTGGGACTAGAACCACCTTTTGAGATCAACTCCTCCTCTGGGCTGTAGCTGCGTTTTCATTACAAATGTGTGCAAAACTTCGTCGCAATTCTGTTAAAACACAGTTTCACAACTGCGGTGTTTCCATTAAGTAAGAAATGTTATTAAAGTCACGCGTGAATATGTTTGTTCTCATGATAAATCATTACAAACATGGCGGCGATGGATGTAAACACATAGCATGTTGCTACCACGACACTAGCGCTCATCATCAGAGGAGACGTCGGCGTCTTTTATCGAGGCTTTCCAGAGACAAGTCCCTACTTGGGAGCGGCTACGTATGCTGTGTTTTTGGGAAATTGTAGTCGCTGAGTTTACTATTTTATACTACTTCTGTGATATTACTACTACTTCTACTTCCTGTTATCTTCTTCTTCGTCGTCTTTTTCGCCAGCAGAAACAGCCGGTTGTTGATCACGTGACTCCTGTGATGTGAAAAAAGTTTTTCCATTGCAGTTTTGCGAAAAACACCAATTTTGATACGGCCAAAAAACCACCTCATCCTAGCGCAAAAACATTTTGTCGAAAAAAAAATTTTTTTTTTCGAAATTGACGTGTTTCCATTGAGCAAATTTATTTTCCAAATCCCAATTTGCACATTTTCTTGGTCAATGGAAACGCAGCTTGTGCCTCCAAGCTGAGCTTCCTCATCACAGAACACACACCCACCTGGTCCTGTGCTGAAATGGGCGGGACAGAAGCAGAAGGAGTTTCTTAAAGAGACAGAGGCCAATTTCAAGTTGTTTAAAAACATGATGAGAAGTCAAGTTTATTTTCTATTTAATCATAAAACAAACATTTTAAAAACAACTGAAGGTGACATAGATACTTTATTATGGTATAGAATTTAAATATATGCCTGAGAAACACATAATATTGCCACTTTAACTAAAACTGAAAAAATAAATATAATATATGAGCAAAAATCCTAAATTCATGGTCTAATTACTGCAATTAGTCCAACTTGGGCCCACAACAGGTGAAACAACAGGTGTCTGAGGAAGGCTTTGTAGTCACTAAGTGGGAGGTTCTTCGTGTGGGGGCGGAGTTTGGGGTGTTTGAGGACCAGATTAAATTGCAACAAGGACCGTATTTGGCCAGCGGACCTTAAGTTTGTCTCTTTTTATGTCTGTTAGATTTATGTTTAAGGTCTTATAATGATTTATTTAATTATCCAGCGTGTTTCTTTATGTGACAGTGAGGTTGTTTATATCTCTGTTGTCCCCTTTTTATGTCTTTTTGTAATTTTAGCGTCTCTTTGTGTTTTTTTATAGATATTATCCTTTTTTTTTAAATTTCACATGCCTTTATGAGGCTTTTCTGCATATTTCTGTTGGTTTTGCCTGTTTTTAACAGTCATTTTTGACCCTTTTTCCATTTTGGTCACACACGTTTGTCTTAAATACATTTCTGTCATAAAACTGTTAAAAGGAAGTTTAAAACAAGAGTTAATAAAGACAAAGCAAAGTTTAATTTTCTTTTACCTAGAGTTTAATTTAGTTGAGATTTTCTCCTTCATTTGATGTGAAATAACTGGCATCTTAAAGCTGTCAGCTGGAAACATTTATCCTTTGAGCTGCAGGCGTGTTAAAGTCTAAAAGCAGCACAAAACAGAAAAGCTGAAGCGTGACGTTTATCTCTCTAAAGTCTGCACTGCTTCTCCTCTTCCTATTTTTTAAACTCTCGTTGTGTCCTCCTGCTTAGATCCTGCTGAACTTCCATGTCAGCGTGCCGTCCTCAGAGGACCTGAAGACCACCCTCACCCTCATCCTGCAGCCCGAGACGCCACCAAAGATCACCTTCAGCAAGCTCTGACGCACAAATGTTTCTTTATACACTTTAAAGATGATATTTAAAATCCACCCTCATGCTTTACATTTAATTTAGTCATAAAAAAGCATCATATCTACCTTCTGACTGCACTCACTGCGGCGCTGTTAGCTTTACTGTCCATCAGGTGGCGCTAAAACTCACTAAACACACCTGTACAACATTTAATGAGCTCCTCCTTTTTCACCTGTCAGTTTGCTTCTTGCTGCTCAACAGGTTGGTCGTGTTTCCTTTCCTAAAACTAAACTTTGCTCCATTTATATTGTTGTGTCGATCAGTTTGATTACACTTTAAAGCATTAATGATTATTTAGCAGCAGGTTGTTTGTTCCTCTATAGATCTGTCTGCTGCTTTGGTTGAAAGTTTAAAGAATTTTCCACTCAAAATGGGGAAAAAAAAGTTAAATTTTATAATTATTTAGTGTTTTTTCTAGACATTCCACACTTGCACATTTAAATTGGTCATCACAATGTTGCATTTTGTTTTTTCTGTGTGAAAAGTGACGTTTGCAGCTGGAAACAGTCTGCTGCGTGGTTGATTCATGTAAGGCGTGTGCCTCAGAGCAGAGCTGCAGCTTCAGGAGCAAAGGTTTGTTTGTCGTTGAGCTAAAGATTTACACGTCTTGTCAGCGTGGAGCTTTTTTTTTCTGCAGAGTAAACTGTGTCAGTGAGCGGAGGTGGAATTACCTCAGTGTGTCGCCTCATTTGTCTCACATTTAAACAACAAAAAGCTCCCAGGTTTCAAACTCAACAGGTGTTTTAGTTGAAACAGCTGCGATTAATCACAAAACCTGCACTAACTTATCTAACACAACTAAAATATGGGCTTTACATGCTGAAAACATCTGTGCTTCAAAATAAACATACCTTTTAAGGAACAAAGGAGGAAAATGTCTGGATTTATTGTTTGTTTTCTGGATGTCACTGTTTCAGATTTTAATAAACGGTGTTAAAGTTCTTCTCTTTGGGAAAATTTAGTCACCAGTTTTCAAAGTTAGTGAAAAAGCTAATTTGCAAAACAAAATAATTTGTTCCGTATAGCAGAACCATGCTCACCACTGCAATTCCTTTAAAAATGTAATAATAATGAAAAAAATATATGCATGTTAAAGTGCCTGTGACATCAATTTTTTATAATAAATATGAATGTATTTTTGGAAAGATGACATTGATAACATATTGTAAAAAAGATTTCATGCCACTGAGATGAACAGTTGTTGAGATATTTGCATGTGAAGAAACAGGAAGTGATGCCAGAGGGGAATGTCTGAATGTAAACTGAGCGTTGCTAAAATGGCTAACAACACAGACTGTAGAGAAGAATCTGCTTTTTTAGATTATTTTAATCACTATCATAGAAAGATGAGTCATTGTTCAAAAATTATTGTTTCAATAAACGAAGACCAGAGTTTTCTTTCTCAAAGAGTTCCCCTTTAATGTCACTTCCTGTTTCACTTTAGCTGAGCAAAACTCAAAAGAAAATATGCCAATTATGTGACATAATGAGTAAAATCATGTGTATTATGCCCAGTGCTGTATAAAGTACCTCAAAGTGATACTTGAGTAAAAGTTCAAGTATCTTGTCATAAAAATACTTTGGTAAAAGTTAAGGACTTCTCTAAACATATTACTTGAGTAAAAGTCTTAAAGTATCTGGTATTTTTTGTACTTAAGTATCAAAAGTAAATGTCTGACACAAAATCCACTTAAGTGTTAAAAGTAAAAGTACTGAGTAAAAGTGAGCAGTTAGATTTTCTAAAATAATGTTTATTGGGAGGTGACTTCTCCAAAAAATATATTTTCTAACGGCGTGCAGCTGTGATGGGTTGTGTACAAGATAATGGTCTGAGTGGGAGGAGAACAGGAGGGGGGGCAGCAGAGGGGTCAGAGGGTAAAACTGAATCGAAGAGGCTTGTTCAGGTGACTGCAGAGGTAGTGACAGACGAGTGCACAGCACAGACAGTAAAAACAGAAGAAATACCAGATTTCTGAGTGAACAGGACATGGGTAAGTGGTTTAAATTATTGTTTTCCAGTTAATACAACTTAATTATGATTTAACTGACATTTGTGGCAGAACTTTGTGTAGCTGCAGGACTATTGTTTGAACTGAGAGAACTACAAGATCATTTACTGCAAAAAGTGTAACATGAAGTTATATTATGCTGAACATCACTTGGACAAAAATAATGGGGTGCTGTTTGTAAAGTTACACAGTCAAAAATTACCACCAATATTTTTGTTTTATTTAGCCTTTTATAAGAAAAAAAGAACAGATTTATTTTTCTAAGTCAGTTTTTMACCATATGATTCATACATTTATAAATGTCATAGTTTATAAACTAAACATTTAACTTACAAATTAAATAGTTAACAAGCTAAATACAGGTGCTGGTCATAAAATTAGAATATCTTGAAAAAGTAGATTTATTTCAGTAATTCCATTTAAAAAGTGAAACTTGTATATTATATTCATACATTACATACAAACTCATATATTTCAAATGTTTATTTCGTTTRATTTTGATGATTACAAATGACAACAAATGAAAATCTCAAATTCAGCATATCAGAAAATTAGAATCTTGTGAAAAGCTTCAAAATGGATGGCACCTGGTACCACACTCTAATCAGCTAATTAACTCAAACCACCTGCAAAGGCCTTTAAATGGTCTTTCAGTCTAGTTCTATAGGCTACACAATCATGGGGAAGACTGCTGACTTGACAGTTGTCCAAAAGACGACCATCGACACCTTGCACAAGGAGGGCAAGACACAAAAGGTCATCGCTAAAGAGGCTGGCTGTTCACAGAGCTCTGTGTCCAAGCACATTAATAGAGAGGCGAAGGGAAGGAAAAGATGTGGTCGAAAAAAATGTACAAGCAAGAGAGATAACCGCACCCTGGAGAGGATTGTGAAACAAAACCCATTCAAAAATGTGGGGGAGATTCACAAAGAGTGGACTGCAGCTGGAGTGAGTGCTTCAAGAACCACCACACACAGACGTATGAAAGACATGGGTTTCTGCTGTCGCATTCCTTGTGTCAAGCCACTCTTGAACCACAGACAGCGTCAGAAGCGTCTAGCCTGGGCTACAGAGAAACAGGACTGGACTGCTGGTGAGTGGTCCAAAGTCATGTTCTCTGATGAAAGTAAATTTTGCATTTCCTTTGGAAATCAAGGTCCCAGAGTCTGGAGGAAAAGAAGAGAGGCACTTCATCCACGTTGCTTGAAGTCCAGTGTAAAGTTTCCACAGTCAGTGATGGTTTGGGGTGCCATGTCATCTGCTGGTGTTGGTCCATTGTGTTTTCTGAGGTCCAGGGTCAACGCAGCCACATACCAGGAAGTTTTAGAGCACTTCATGCTTCCTGCTGCTGACCAACTTTTTGGAGATGCAGATTTCATTTTCCAACAGGACTTGGCACCTGCACACAGTGCCAAAGCTACCAGTACCTGGTTGAAGGACCATGGTATCCCTGTTCTTAATTGGCCAGCAAACTCTCCTGACCTTAACCCCATAGAAAATCTATGGGGTGTTGTGAAGAAGAAGATGCAATACACCAGACCCAACAATTCAGAAGAGCTAAAAGCCACTATTAGAGCAACCTGGGCTATCATAACACCTGAGCAGTGCCACAGACTGATCGACTCCATGCCACGCCGCATTGCTGCAGTAATACAGGCCAAAGGAGCCCCAACTAAATACTGAGTGCTGTACATGCTCATACTTTTCATGTTCATACTTTTCAGTTGGCCAACATTTCTATAAATCCTTTGTTTTTATTGGTCTTCAGTAATATTCTAATTTTCTGATATGCTGAATTTGAGATTTTCATTTGTTGTCATTTGTAATCATCAAAATTAAACGAAATAAACATTTGAAATATATGAGTTTGTATGTAATGTATGAATATAATATACAAGTTTCACTTTTTAAATGGAATTACTGAAATAAATCTACTTTTTCATGATATTCTAATTTTATGACCAGCACCTGTATTTAGCTTGAAACTTATATATTTAAGTAGCTACATGAATATTTAGGTTGCAACTTGAATATTTAGGTTGCAACTTAAACATGTAGCTAGCCACCTAAATATTTAACTTGAATATTTAGTTAGCTACCTAAAAATTTATTTCGCAACTTAAATATTTAACTAGCAAGTTAAATATTTAACTTGCTGATTAAATATTTAAATTGCAACCTAAATATTTAGGCAGCTAGCTAAATATTTAAGTTTCAAGCTAAACATTTAGCTCAAAACTAAATATAAATATTTAGCTTGTAAACTAAACATTTCATTTGTAAGTTAAATATTTAGTTTAGAAACAGACTTTTATAAAGGTATGGATCATATGGTGAAAAACTGACTTAGAAAAATAAATCTGTTCTTTTTTTCTTATAAAAGGCTAAATAAAACAAAAATATAGGTAGTAATTTTTGACTGTGTAACTTTACAAACGGCACCCCATAAAAAATCGACTGTTTAAATTAAAATGTGCTTGTGCACAAACTGCAGGCAGAAATTTCCAGGTGTTCCAGCACCAACAGGTTTATCAGTCACGATGCCCCTGCCTGGACCAGTGTTTTGCAACTTCGGTGTCTTTGACCTGAAGTCTGTCTTTATTTATAGTCTGCCTTCAAAGAACAGGAATCGATGTGTTTCCGTGTGTACGGGCAGAGGGAAGTGTCAGAGGAGCATCTCAGTGGGACCCGTAATGATGTGTGCAGCAGAGCGGCAGAACTGGGTCACAGGGAGGTGCAGAGACGGAGAGGAAAATAAAAAAGACACAAAGTTGAAAAAAGGAGAACTGACAGATTCTGAATCTGCAGGGTGGAGGAGCAGCCAGTCTGAAAACCACAGTAGTCACTGCTCTTAGGGAGTTTTGTTAAACTTTGTTCTGTGTTAGCTAAAGCTGCTAATGCTGCTAACACTGCTAACACAGCTAATGCTGCTAACACTGCTAACACCACTAACCCTGCTAACACTGCTAACACCACTAAACCTGCTAACATTGTTAATGCTGCTAACACTGCTAACACTGCTAACCCTTCCCTACAAGACGTCCAACTCACAGGTGAAAATTAAGTAAAATGATTTTACAGTGAATTTTGCTTGTTGCTACTTTTGAACCATGAGTTCAACAGAACAGCTGAAGTGGGTTTAATATGTGATCATATGATCCACTGTAGACGCTACATCTCTAAACAGGACAGGCACGAGTTTGGATTTACCATTACTGCACACGTTGGCAACATAACAAAAAAAAAAAAAGACTGGTGTAGAAATCATAAAAACAATTAATAATAATGAAATTACTAATATTTTAGAGTATAAGCTATTAAACAGTTAAAGCTGTTTATAAGTCTTTGAGCCTCTCACAGGGCATTTTTGGCTCTTAAACCATGAGTTTAACACATGCTTTAAGTGTTTCTCATAGATTCAGCCTCTGAAAAATGTGTCATTTTAAACCTCTTCACAGATTAAAAAAAATCAGATCACAACAGTTTTGGTACCAGGTTATAAGAAATCCAGCCTTTCACCTCATCCCTGCTTCGTTTGACCCTCTTCATCCTCACCTCTTCAGTCACTCAAGCTCTGTTTCTGCTGACCTTGTCCATCCGGCTCCTTGCTCGTCCTCTCGCTCTTTATTCTTTCCTCCTCTAAAACCTGCAGGCTTGACCGACTGTGACATCCTTCAAAATGGATTTCATTGTTCAGGATCTGAGCTCTTGGTGGAGCTCTGCAACAATTTGCATGAAAGATGTGAGCTCGTCTTCCAGGTGGTGGTTAAGTCTCTGGGTTAGGATGTGGAAAACCAGCACTTATACTGGGACTAAATTAGAATTTTAGGTGATTTCTTTTGGAATTTGCTTGTTTTGGTGTTGGACCTTTAACTAATCTAAAATTGAGGTCACATTGGTTTGTAAGTTTTTGCAACAATTGACTGACTGTTGTGTGAAGACGAGCTCTTTCACTGAAGAAGCTCATTTTAAATTTTCAACCTATTTTTAATCAATTTTTAGTCCAATAACTTGAATGTTTTGATTAGTATTAAACTTAAATGTGTTTCCAGCAGCTAGTTCTTTGGAACCATTGTTAATTCATTAGACTGCCAGGTATGTCTCCAGTAAAAAGCCAATACAAAGCTTAATTATCTTCTTGTTATTCCTGAAATTGTTCCAAAGCTGTTTATTATTGTGATTTTCATCCTGCTTTCCTTTTGAATATTTGTGCTGTCATGTTTAGAGATGACCTGATGAGTACAGTAGAAATACAATCAATGGACTATTAGGACACATTAGCTCATCAATCTGGCCAAACTAAGGTTGATCAGAGTCACCTACAACAGGTGAACTAATAGAGGATATAGGATATAACTTTTTTTTGGAAACCGAAAGAAAAATGTTGGAACTAGAATTTAAACATTTTAAAACTGATTAAAAACACTTCAAAGCTAGTTTTGTCAAATAATTGAAATGTATGGCATGCTGTTGTATCATAATTAGTGAGGTATGGCAGACCACTGTGTCGTGTAACTTTAAGATGTGGCAGGTAGTTGCAATATATATTTAACAGGTTATGGCAGACCGTTTTATCATATAATTAAAGGGGTATGGTTGGCCACTGTCGTATCATTTTAAAATAGAGAGTCGTAATGTATAATTAACGAGGTAAGGCATGCCATGTTATAATTACAATATGGCAGGCCATTGTATCATATTATTATTATTATTATTATTTTAGCCACTTCAGTATAAAAAAGAACTGAAAGTTTCTTCATCATAAATAGCTGTGTTTCCATTGACCATGAAAATGTGCAAATTAGAATTTCGAAAATAAATTTGCTCAATGGAAACACGTCAATTTAGAAAAATATATACATTTTTCGACTAAATGTTTTTGCGCTAGGGTGAGGTGGTATTTCGGCCGTATCGAAATTGGTGTTTTTCACAAAACTGCAATGGAAACACTTTTTTCACATCACAGGAGTCACGTGATCAACAACCGGCTGTTTCTACTGGTGAAAAAGACGATGATGAAGAAGATAACAGGAAGTAGAAGTAGGGATGGGAAATCGTCCCTATTTTCAGATCATAAATCATGGTCACTGGCTATCGCCGATAGACGATTGAATCAAAAATCACGCCATCCCTAAGTAGAAGTAGTAGTAATATCACAGAAGTAGTATAAAATAGTAAACTCACCGGCCATCCCTAAGTAGAAGTAGTAGTAATATCACAGAAGTAGTATAAAATAGTAAACTCACCG